TGTGGTGTGGTGTGGTGGTTGGTGTGGTAGAGTGGTGTGGTAGTAGTGATGATGGTGACGTGTGTGTGTGTGGCATTGTGATGTGTATGGTCGTAGTGGTGATGATTGGTGTGGTGGTATGATGGTGTTGTGTGGTGTTGGTGGGGTGAAGTATGGTGATGATTATGGTGATGTATTTGTGTTACGATGATATATGGTGACGTGTGTGGGTGTTATTAGGTGATGTGTGTGGTGTTATGGTGATAATTATGTGGTGTTATGGTGATGTGGTGTTATGGTGATATGTGGTGTTATGGTGATATGTGGTGTTATGGTGATAATTATGTGGGTTATGGTGATATGTGGTGTTATGGTGATAATTATGTGAGGTTATGGTGATATGTGGTGTTATGGTGATAATTATGTGGTGTTATGGTGTATGGTGTTATGGTGGCTGAGATACAAAGAGAAAGGACGTAATGCAGGAAAAGGTATTTTATAGGTCGTGTAACATAGCTCCGTACGTGTTATGGTGGTGTAAATTAGCTGTAGTGTTAGGTGGTGATGTAATATAGCTGTATGTGGTCGTACTTAACATAGTGTACGTGTTAGGTGGTCATTAATTATGGTAGTGTTAGGTGGTATGGTGTAGTGTTAGTGGTGTATAATATAGTGTAGTGTTAGGTGGTGATGCTAACATAGTGTACGTGTTAGGTGGTCATGCTTAACATAACTCCGTACGTGTTAGGTGGTCGTACTTAACATAGCTCCGTACGTGTTAGGTGGTCGTACTTAACATAGCTCCGTACGTGTTAGGTGGTCGTACTTAACATAGCTCCGTACGTGTTAGGTGGTCGTACTTAACATAGCTCCGTACGTGTTAGGTGGTCGTACTTAACATAGCTCCATACGTGTTAGGTGGTCGTACTTAACATAGCTCCATTACACGTGTTAGGTGGTCGTACCAACATAGCCCAGTACCACCATACCAGGACTACCCAGACCATATCAGGACCCCAATACCAGACCATATCAGGACTGACACCACCATGCAGACCCCAGCACCATACCGGACCCCAGTACCACCATACCAGGACCAGTACCACCATACCAGGACCCAGTACCACCATGCCAGGACCCCAATACCACCATACCAGGACCCCAGTACCACCATGCCAGGACCCCAGTGCCCTGCCAGGACCCCAGTGCCACCATTCCAGGACCCCAGTACCACCATACCGGACTGATACCCACCATACCAGGACCCCAGTACCACCATGCCAGGACCCCAGTACCACCATACCAGGACCCCGTACCACCATGCCAGGACCCCAGTACCACCATGCCAGGACCCCAGTACCACCATGCCAGGACCCCAGTACCACCATACCAGGACCCCAGTGCCACCATACCAGGACCCCAGTGCCACCATACCAGGACCCCAGTACCACCATACCAGGACCCCAGTACCACCATACCAGGACCCCAGTACCACCATACCAGGACCCCAGTACCACCATACAGGACCCCAGTACCACCATACCATGACCCCAGTACCAGACCATACCAGGACCCCAGTACCACCATACCAGGACCCCAGTACCAGACCATACCAGGACCCCAGTACCATCAGGACCCCAGTACCACCATACCAGGACCAGTACCACCAAACCAGGACCCCAGTACCAGACACGTACAGTTACCATATATATATCGTTCCCTTCTTTTGCTGGGGAGAAATAGGAGGTGCTGAGCTGCGGCCACACACACACACACACACACACACACACACACACACACACACACACACACACACACACACACACACAGAAGGACAGAGAGAGAGAGAGAGCACTCGAGGTGATCAAGACTGCAGGTTCCTCAGGTCAGCCGGGAACAAAAGTCAAGAGAGGAAAACACTGTAACTTTTTATGGTCACAATCTGGCCTTTGTGTGGACCGCTCGACTCTCTCTCTCTCTCTCTCTCTCTCTCTCTCTCTCTCTCTCTCTCTCCAGCTTCTCCTACCTCCCATCTTCCCTGCACTTCCCTCCCTCCCTTCCCTCCCCTCCCTCCCTCCCTTTCTAACACCTCTCCCTTCCTCCCTCCTCCCTTCCTCTCTAACCCCCTCCCTCCCTCCCTCCCTTTCTACCCCTCTCTCCCTCCCTCCCCTCTCCCTCTCCTAACCCCTCTCTCCTCCCTCCCTCCCTTCCTCTCTAACCCCCTCTCTCCCTCCTCCCCTCTCTCTCCCTCTCCTGCCCCTCTCTCCCCTCCCTCCTCTCTAACCCCTCCCCTCCCTCTCCTAACTCCCGCTCTCCTCCTCTCCAACTACCCCCCCCCTCGTGACACTTCCCCCCCTTCTTTTGGCACCCCATCCTCTCCCTCCTTGGGCACTCTCCTCGACTCCCCCCCCTCTGTGCCCCAACTTCCTCCTCGACTTCCCTCTCTATTTCTCCTCCCGCCCCACTCGTTATACCACTCTGTCGACCCTCTTGTGTGGCACTCCTTTCCGACCCTCTTTAATTTGGCACTTCCTCCCACCCTCTGACCTGGCACTCCTCTCCCTCCGGCCCTGGCACTCCCCTCCCTCTGACCTGGCCTCCTCCCTCCTCCGGCCTGGCACTCCCCTCCCCTCCGACCTGCCTCCCCCCTCCCTCTGGCCTGGCCTCCCCCTCCCCTCCCGGCCTGGCACTCCCCTCCTCCCGGCTTGGCCTCCCCTCCCTCCGGCCTGGCCTCCTCCCTCCCCTGCCTGGCACTCCTCCCTCCTGCCTGGCCTCCCCTCCTCGGCCTGGCACTCCCTCCCTCCGACCTGGCCTCCCCTCCCTCTGGCCTGGCCTCCCTCCCCTCCTGCCTGGCCTCCCTCCTCCGGCCTGGCCTCCCCCCCTCCCTCCCGGCCTGGCCTCCCCTCCCTCCCGGCCTGGCACTCCCTCCCTCAGCCTGGCACTCCTCCCTCCAGCCTCCTGGCACTCCCTCCCTCCAGCCTGGCACTCCCTCCCTCCGGCCTGCTCCCTCCGTCCTGGCACTCCCTCCGTCCTGCCTCCCCTCCCTCCGTCCTGGCACTCCCCTCCCTCCGTCTGGCCTCCCCTCCCTCCGTCCTGGCACTCCCCCCTCCCCTCCGGCCTGGCACTCCTCCCTCCCGTCCTGGCCTCCCCTCCCCTGGCCTGCTCCCCTCCCTCCTGCCTGGCACTCCCTCCCTCCCGGCCTGGCCTCCTCCCTCCGGCCTGGCCTCCCCTCCCTCGGCCTGGCACTCCCTCCCCCTCCAGCTGGCCTCCCCTCCCTCCAGCCTGGCACTCCCCTCCTCCAGCCTGGCCTCCTCCCCCTCGGCTTGGCACTCCCCTCCCTCGTCTTGCACTCCCCTCCCTCCGTCCTGGCCTCCCCTCCGTCCCTGCTTCCCTCCCTCCGTCCTGGCCTCCCCTCCCCTCCGTCTGCCTCCCCTCCCTCCGTCCTGGCCTCCCCTCCTCCGGCCTGGCACTCCCCTCCTCCGTCCTGGCACTCCCCTCCCTCCCGGCCTGCTCCCCTCCCTCCGGCCTGGCACTCCTCCCCTCCGTCTGGCCTCCCCTCCCTCCCGGCCTGGCCTCCCCCTCCCTCCGTCCTGCCTCCCCTCCCTCCGGCCTGGCACTCCCCTCCCTCCCGGCCTGGCACTCCCTCCCCTCGGCCTGGCCTCCCCTCCCTCCCGTCCTGGCACTCCTCCCTCCGGCCTGGCACTCTCTCCAGCCTGGCACTCCCTCCCTCCGGCCTGGCACTCCCCTCCCCTCCAGCCTGGCACTCCCTCCCTCCGGCCTGGCACTCCCCTCCCTCCGGCCTGGCACTCCCCTCCCCTCCGTCCCTGGCCTCCCCTCCCTCCGTCCTGGCCTCCCCTCCCTCCTTCCTGGCCTCCCCCTCCCTCCGTCCTGGCACTCCCCTCCCTCGTCCTGCCTCCCTCCTCCCGGCCTGCTCCCCTCCCTCCGGCCTGGCACTCTCCTCCAGCCTGGCACTCCCCTCCCTCGGCCTGGCACTCCCCTCCCGTCCTGGCACTCCTCCCTCCGGCCTGGCACTCCCCTCCCTCCGCCTGGCACTCCCCCTCCCTCCGTCTGCTTGCTCTCCCTCCCTGTGCTCCTCCCTCCGGCCCTGGCACTCCCTCCCTCCCGTCCTGGCACTCCCCTCCCTCCGGCTTGGCCTCCCTCCTCCGTCCTGGCCTCCCCTCCCTCCGGCCTGGCCTCCCCTCCCTCCCGGCCTGGCCTCCCTCCCTCGGCTTGCTCTCCTCCCCCGTCCTGGCACTCCCCTCCCCTCCTGCCTGGCCTCCCCTCCCTCCGTCTTGGCACTCCTCCTCTGCCTCCCCTCCCCTCCGTCCTGGCACTCCCCTCCCTCCGTCCTGCTTCTCCCTCCCTCGTCCTGGCACTCCCCTCCCGTCCCTGGCACTTCCCTCCCTCCTGCCTGGCCTCCCCTCCCTCCGGCCTGGCACTCCCCCCTCCCCTCCCGTCCTGCTCCCTCCTCCCGGCCTGGCACTCCCTCCCTCCGTCTGCTCCCCTCCCTCCTGCCTGGCACTCCCCTCCCTCCGGCCTGCACTCCCCTCCCCTCCGGCCTGCTCCTCCCCTCCAGCCTGGCACTCCCCTCCCTCCAGCCTGGCACTCCTCCCCTCGGCCTGGCCTCCCTCCCTCTACCTGGCCTCCCCTCCCTCCCGGCCTGGCTCCCTCCCCTCCCGTCCTGGCACTCCCTCCCTCCGGCCAGAGATAAGAGCTAATCCGGGATATAGCGGTTTGGTCTATGAGAGATAGTGCTTGGAGATAGTGTGGGAGATAGCGCTGGAGATAGTGTGGGGAGATAGCGCTTGAGAATAGTGTGGGAGATAGCGCTTGAGAATGAGTGTGGGGGTAGTGCTTGGAGATAGTGTGGGAGATAGTGCTTGGAGATAGTGTGGGAGATAGCGCTTGGAGATAGTGTGGGAGATAGCGCTTGGAGATAGTGTGGGAGATAGTTTTTGGAGATAGTGTGGGAGATAACGTGTTGGTGTTCCGTTCTCTTATCTCCGTTATCTCCTCCACAGATATCCGGCGCAGCGAGTTACCAGCAGCAGGAAACACGGAGGCAGTACTTGTCATGGTAAGTAACAACAATAAAAAGTAACAATGAGTAACATTAACAACAGTAAAAAGTAACGATAAGTAACAACAGCAAGTAACGATACCATGGAATGAACAGAGATGGTTAAATAAACACAAGGATAACAGGAGCATTAGGGAACAGTAACAGTGGATAAAGTAGCAGTAACAGGAGCATCGTGGAACAGTAACAGTAGATAAAGTAGCAGTAACGGGCATTAGGGAACAGTAGCAGTAGATAAAGTAGCAGTAACAGGAGCATTAGGGAACAGTAACGTAGATAAAGTAGATAACAGGCATTAGGGAACAGTAACTGGTGTGTGGTAGTGTCACAGTAGATAAAGTAGCAGTAACAGGGCATTGAGAACAGTAACAGTAGATAAAGTAGCAGTAACAGGAGCATCGTGGAACAGTAAAGTGGATAAAGTAGCAGTAACAGGAGCATTGGAACAGTAACAGTAGATAAAGTAGCAGTAACAGGGCATGTGGAACAGTAACAGTAGATAAAGTAGCAGTACAGGGCATTGGAACAGTTTGTGTTTTGGTTTGTGTAAACACCGTAGCCCAGGTAATTGTTCCTTTGGCCTCAGGTAAATCAGGTGTTGATGTATTGGTGTCAAGTGTAGGGGATACCTGCCCTGTGGTACTCTCTCTCTCTCTCTCTCTCTCTCTCTCTCTCTCTCTCTCATACCTCCACCCCACCCCCTCACCTCCTACCACTCACCCCTCACCTCCTACCCTCACCCTCCCTCCCACCCCTCACCCCTCCCTCCCACCCTCACCCCTCCCTCCCACCCCTCACCCCCCTCCCTCCCTCACCCCTCCCTCCCTCCCCTCACCCACCCCTCCCTCCCCTCCCTCCCCTCACCCCTCCCTCCCTCCTCCCTCCCTCCCTCCCTCCCCTCCCCTCACCCCTCCTCCCTCCTCCACCTCCTCCCTCCCCTCCCCCTCTCCCCTCACCCCCTCCCTCCCCTCCCCTCACCCTCCCCTCCCTCCCCTCACCCCTCCCTCCTCCCCTCACCCCTCCCTCCCTCCCTCCTCCCTCCCCTCCCTCACCCCTCCTCCCTCCCTCACCCCTCCCTCCCTCCTCCCTCACCTCCCTCCCTCCCTCCCCCCCTCCCCTCACCCCTCCTCACCCCTCCTCCCTCTGCTCTTCGGCTTCCACGTTTCCTACCTCCTTCCGCCCTGCACACCACTACCCTACCACCACCACTACCACCTCCACCACCACTCCCTACCACCACCACTCCCACCCCTCCCACCTACCACTACCTCCCCTCCTACCACCACCCCACCACTACCCTCACACCCTCCCACCTCCACCACCACCTACCCACCACCTGCCACCACCACCACCACCACACTACACCACACCACCCCTGCACCACCACCACCACCTCCCTACCACCACCACTCCTCCACCACACCACTCCCTCCCACCACCACCACCACCACCACCACCTCCACCACACCACCTCCCACCACCACCACTACCTCCACCACCACTACCACCACCACCTCCCACCACCACCACTACCACCTGCCACCACCACCACCACCACCACCACTACCACCACCACTACCACCACTACCACCACTACCACCTGCCACCACCACCACCACCACCACCACCACCTGCCACCACCACCACCACCACTACCACCACTACCACCTGCCACCACCTCCACCACCACCTGCACCACCACCACCACACCACCACCATCTCACCACCACCACCACTACCACCACCACCTGCTCCACCACCCTATACCACCATCTGCCTGCCACCACCACCACCACTCTACCTGCCTGCCCACTTCCTCCTACACCACCACCACCACCACCACCACTACCACCCACTACCACCACCACTACCACCCTACCACCACCTGCACCACCACCACCACCACCACCACCACCACCTGCACCACCACCACCCACCACTACCACCACCACCACCACCACCACCTGCACCACCACCTCACCACCACCTGCACCACCACCTGCACCACCACCACTCACCACCACCACCACCACCACCACCACCTGCACCACCACCACACCACCACCACCTGCACCACCACCACTACCACCACCACCTGCACCACACCACCACCACCACCACCACCACACCTGCACCACCCTGCACCACCACCACCACCACCACCACCACCACCACCACCACCACCTGCACCACCACCACTACCACCACCACCACCACCCACCACCACCACCCACCACCTCCACCACCACCACCACCACCACCACCACCACCTCACCACCACCACCACCTGCCACCACCACCACCACCACCACCACCACCACCACCACCACCACCACCACCACCACCACCACCACCACCACCACCACCACCATCACCACCACCCACCACCACCACCACCTGCACCACCACCACCACCACCACCACCACCACCACCACCACCACTACCCACCACCACCACCACACCACCACCACCACCACCACCACCACCCACCACCACCACCTGCACCACCACCACCACCACCACCATCACCCACCACTACCACCACCACCACCACCACCTGCACCACCACCACCACTACCACCACTACATCAAGTACAAGCATTAGCAGGAGGTAACGTACTGTACTTGCGTGTCTGGCGTCCGTAATAAATCATAGGTGTCCTATTTTTTGCTCAGTACGTGACCAAGACAACGCCCCCCTCCCCCTACCCTCTCCCCCTCCCCCTCTTCTCTACCCCCTCCTCCCCCTCTTCTCCTTCTCTTCCCCTCTCCCTCCTTTCCTCTCCCCTTTCCTCTCCCCTTTCTTCCTCTCTCCCAGTGCTCCCCAAAGGATGAGGGTGAGGGGGTGATAGGAGGGGTAAGGGGAGGGGGAGGAGGGGAGGAGGGGGGGCCCTTTACCCCAACATGCACAGCGCGACGCAGGATTATCACACACCTGCTGTTGCATATAAGAACCATGACTGTGTTCTTTCCCTACCGGATATTCACGCCCCTGTCTGGTAGATGCTCTCTCAACCTTGGTGGCATTTAGAAACAGAGGAGGAACAAAGAGAAGAGCCTTAGGAACCCCATGTGGAAGTTTAGACCCCCGTTTGTGTATGGGTCTTCCCTTCTGAGCTGGCCGGAATGTTCCTCTGTAGTCAGGTCTGTGGGTAACAAGATGGCGGGGTAGTGAGGCCTCTGGGTAGCAAGATGGCGGGGGGTAGTGAGGCCTCTGAGGGTAACAAGATGGCGGGGTAGTGAGGCCTCTGGGTAGTAAGATGGCGGGGGCAGTGAGGTCTCTGTGGGTAACAAGATGGCGGGCATGAGGCTCCTGGGTAGCAAGATGGCGGGGGTGGAGGCTCTGTGGGTAACAAGATGCAGGGGCAGTGAGGCCTCTGGGTGTAGGCAAAAATGGCGGGGGGCAGTGAGGCCCCCTAGCAAAGATGGCGGGGTAGTGAGGTCTCTGGGTAGTAAGATGGCGGGGCAGTGAGCCCCTGCAGCAAGATATGGGGTTTGTAGAGCCTGCAGCAAGATGGCGGGGCAGTGAGGCCCTCTGGGCAGCAGGATAAGGGGCAGTGAGGCCTCTGGGTAGCAAGGCGGCAAGCAGTGAGTGTTCTTGGGCAGCAAGATGGCGGGGTAGTGAGGTCTCTGGGTAACAAGATGGCGGGGCAGTGAGGCCCTGGGCAACAAGATGGCGGGGTAGTGAGGCCCTGGGTAGCAAGATGGCGGGGTAGTGAGGTCTCTGGGTAACAAGAGATGGCGGGGCAGTGAGGGCCTCTGGGTAGCAAGATGGCGGGATATGAGGCCCTGGGTAGCATGGCGCGGGGCAGTGAGAGGCCTCTGGGTAACAAGATGGCGGGGTGTGAGGCCTCTGGGTAGCAAGATGGCGGGGCAGTGAGGCCCTGGGTAGCAAGATGGCGGGCAAGTGAGGCTCCTGGGTAAAGCAAGATGGCGGGGTAGTGAGGCCCTGCAACAAAGATGGCGGGGTAGTGAGGCCTCTGGGGTAGCAAGACAGGGGCAGTGAGGCCTCTGGGTAAGATGGCGGGGCAGTGAGGCCTCTGGGTAGCAAGATGGCGGGGGGTAGTGAGGCCTCTGTGGGTATCAAAATGGCGGAATGATAAATAAACAATGACAAAAAAACCAAGATGGCGGACTATACTAATAATAATAACAAGACATTATTTATAACTTACGTGAAAAATAAAGCAAATTAACTGATATTAGATGGAAAATATGACCTAATTAACTCGAGGAACAGCATAAGAGGGGAATTAATTATGGCAGGGAAGGAGAAAGGAGTTTGTTGGGGGTATATAATGCTCAGTGTCTTAAAATGTTAAAAGACTTATTATGAAGGATTATTTTATGATTATCTTGATAATTATTGAGTAAAATTAACATACAGGTTGACGATTGGGTTTGGTTATGTATGTATGTATGTATGTATGTATGTATGTATGTATGTATGTATGTATGTATATATATAGACAATGTTCCTAGATGGATAAAGTGAACCAATCCGGATAATATGAAGCAATTCGGATAAATTGAACCAGTCCGGATAACATAAACCAAACCTAATCTAAACCAAACCTAATCTAAACCAAACCTTGTCTAAATCAATTCTTATCCGAATAAATCCGGATAAGAAAAATGGTGCATCCGGATTAGTAAAAAGCTCATATATATATATCTGAGTGATTGAACGTTGGGCCGGATACCAACATCAAAACGGAGCCGAGGATTGTGTTAGGTGGGAACGTCTCTGTGTTGTGTAATGGAATTAGTCTTCCATTTGTACATTTTAGAGGGGGGGATAATGTCATCAACCCGACAGTAACTTAGTGAGTGTGAAATCACGTGTGTGTGTTAGTGGGCTGTGGGGGGTGTGTGGGGGGTGAAGTGTGTGGGGGTGAAGGGGTGTGTGGGGGGGTGAAGGGGTGTGTGGGGGTGAAGGGGTGTGTGTGGGGTGTGAGGTGTGTGGGGGTGTGGGTGTGTGGGGGTTGTGAAGGGG